TTCTTATATCCACAAGGTAGAGGGAGGTAGGCGGTGTTTACAGCGTACCGTATTGAGGCCCTGCCAGCTCTGTGTGAACCAGGGGGTCTGCATTCCTGGTGTCTGTGTCAAGGTCGCACCGGCCATTCTTAAGCAGTGAAGGTCATGACAGCCATTTTGATGTGGGCGGCTCCCCACAGTTGGGCTCCACTCCCCTGCCTGCTCTCAGCACCTGGGCCTACGCCCTTGGACACTACATGGACATCACTCTGCCTGTGGCCCAGGCTGACGACCCCTGTGCCTCCGAGGGAGATGACCCCCTTAGAGCAAGGGTTGGGCAAGGACAGCAGATCCCTCCCGTTGGAAGGACTCCCAGAAGGCCCGGGCTGCGGACATGGGGGCCCTGCAGCTGTCTCAGCCCCTCCTTGGCTGGCATGCCCTGACTCCCTTCCCTTGCCTGGTACCCAGCCAACCCTGGCCTGCCCTCTCTGTTTCTGTCCCAGGCTCAACTCAGACTCAGAGCTCCCGAGTCCTGGTGCCCCCAGTCCCTCTGTCAAGGACATCAGTGGTGGCCAGGTGAGTGCCCCATCACGTGTGTGGTGTGTAGGGGGGAGAGAGAGCACCAACTCAGGCTCCCCCAGCCCTGGGGTGACAGCTCCGTGCTGGGGCCCAGGGTTGCTAGCAGTGGTGGCGGGGGCAGCTGGGGGATGGAGGTCACTGGGCCCCTTCTCTTGAAGGAGAGACAGCCCCTGAGCTCTGTTCCCCAACTTGCCCCCTTGCAGGCCCACCATAGCCCCCCAGGGAGCTCAGAATGTAAGAGGCTGGGGGCCTGGGGAAAAGTGAGCTAGGAGGAGAGGGAGGGAGCCCAGGGTGGGCCTTCAGGACCCACGCAGCCTGTTCCCTTCTGACCAGACGTCCTGTGTCCCAGGGAGCGGCAGAAGCCACCTCTAAGAGTGAGTCGAGACATCTTCATCATGAACCCTGGCAGTCCTGCCTGGGCCCCGCCCAGCCCCAGCCCTGCAGGCCTCAGCCTCCCTCCCAGTCTCTCAGGCCTCACTTTGCTGAGAAGGGGTCCCTGCAACTCTGACTCCAGATGAGATCAGGCCTTTGGGGACCACCCTGGCATAATCCAAGGCCTGGACCAAACTGGGGGGTCTCAGTTTGTGCCCCAAGATTGCTCCTCATTTGGAGGTCATGAAGCCTAGCTAGTATGCACCCCCAGGGCACTGGAGCGGGGCGGGAGCTTTGGCGGTGGTGGGGGACACTGAGTTCAGGCCTATGCAGCCCCCTCCCGCCCTGCCCACCCCCACGGGACCACCCTGGCATAATCCAAGGCCTGGACCAAACTGGGGGGTCTCAGTTTGTGCCCCAAGATTGCTCCTCATTTGGAGGTCATGAAGCCTAGCTAGTATGCACCCCCAGGGCACTGGAGCGGGGCGGGAGCTTTGGCGGTGGTGGGGGACACTGAGTTCAGGCCTATGCAGCCCCCTCCCGCCCTGCCCACCCCCACTGCTGCCCCACCAGAGCCCCCTCTGCCCACTCCCCTCCCAGCCAAGCTCTATAACGTGCTTCCTCCTGCAGCAAAGAAGCCACCCCTTCTCTCTGTGGTCCCCACGGGGAGCGTCTCAGCTGCCCAGGTGAGGAGGGGTGGGGTCAGCTGGGGCAGAGCCTGAGAGTCCTCACCCGGGAGCCCCTCAGGCACGGCCTTACACACATGCGCAACACCATGCTGCGTGTGGGATGCAACCTGGGGAACACGAACATGAGCACGAATACTGAACCCGGGACTCTCAGCTCCCCACGCCTGATCCAGGGCCCCGACATATCTCCCCGTGCCTGTGTGTGTGTGCACAGGAGGCTGGCCTGCTGGGTCAGACGTGGTACTCGGACAACTGTGACCGTCACGCTGTCGAGCGCGTCCTGCTCCGCCTCCAAAAGGTGTGTAGCCACAGGGCCCCGGGCTTCTCTGAAACCGTCCTGCTCACAGGCATGCTGAGTGGGCAGGAGGGAGCAGGAGGCGGAGGCATGGGGGCAAGGGCAGGGCGGGTCTGGCCATCGTGAGTCAGGGCTCTGGTGGGTGATAGGTGAGGTTGACGGCGGGGTCTCCTCCACAGGATGGGGCCTACACCGTGCGTCCCAGCTCCGGGCCTCAGGGCTCTCAGCGCTTCACTCTGGCCGTGTTGCTGAGAGGCCGGGTGTTCAACATTCCCATCCGGCAGTTGGATGGTGGGCGCCACTATGCCCTGGGCCGGGAGGGCAGGAGCCACGAGGAGGTGGGTGCTGCAGGAGGCAGGAGCCCGTCGGGCAAGGAGGGTACAGCAGAGCAGTGCGCTGTGCCAGCCGAGAATGCATGCCAAGGGGAAACCCACATTTTGTGATATTCTGGGGTGGGCAGAAATGACAGAGGCCAGAGCCCTGAACTCCCTCCCAGATACCTGGCATTTGGAAAGAGGTCCACCCTGCTCTGGGGAGGTGCCCCTTCCTGCCAGGGGTCAGTCTGCACAGGGCTGAGGCGGGGCATCTGTACCTGTAATGAGGACAGCAGGGTCCAGGGAGTCCTGTCTGCCTACCCACGGACTCAGCCTGGTACCCACAAACTAGTACAGTCCCCCACCACTCGACTCGCCATGCTGCAGGACCAAGGCAGAGGCTGCCCTGAAGTTATTTTGACCTAGCCTTGGAAACATGAGCCTGGTGGACAGTGGGGCCACGGTGCAGTCACAGGAGAGTTGCAAAAGGGAGGGGAAACACCTACAAAAATGGCAATGAGTTCCTTGGCCGGAGCCCTGCAGTTGCCTCAAAAGGTCACCCCAGCACGGGCTCAAGGACCTCACTGATGTCCTGCCCCCTGTGTAGACCTTCTCCTCTGTGCCTGCCATGATCCAGCACTACAAACAGCACCCCCTGCCCCTTGTGGACAGACAGAGCGGCAGCCGGGAACTCACCTGCCTTCTCTTCCCCACCAAGCCCTGAGGCCATGGTGACAGGGACGCACACACGCCATGGGCCCCAGTGTTCGCTTGTTGCCCCGTCCCACCTTCGCTGTCGCCCTTTCCTCCTCCGCCTCTGCATCCCCTCCCAGGCCTTTGCCCCAGTCCTTGTAGGCCCTGGTAAGAGAAAGGGTCCTAGAGACCCCGCCCCAAGCCCACCCAGAGCCTGACTCTGTCCCTCTCTGCGGCATGTCCAAGGCCTCACGGGATGGTGGTGGCTGCCCTGGTTCCCAGGGCCCCTTCAACTGCTCTGGATGAAGACTTGCGGTAGCCTAGGAAGGTCGGCCTCCTGGGGGAAGCTGAGCCTGGGTCCGCTGGGTACTGCCTGGGCAGCCAAGATAACCCTGTCAGTTCTCTCCAGCCTTAGTACACTCTGTGAGGGGCTGGGTTGCCCAGCACATCGCGCATTTTCAATAAACGTTTGTTGAATGAACTCTTGAACCTGCTACGTGAAGCAGGGGTGGCCCTGAGACGCCAAGATCCTTAAATGGCACGGGGCAGACTGGCAGGGAGTGAGGGAGTGTCCCTGGGCCAGGCCAGGGCAGAAAGGGCCAGCCCAGATCTGGTCTGTGCTAGGAAGCAGGGTGCCCATCCAGGCTGCTGATTTTGGTTTTGTTTGTGGGGGCTGGGGCAGGGAAGGGAAGAAGGCTCAGGGCTGTCTCTGCCACCCCATTCATTAAAAGATGAGAATGGAGCCCATGAACTACGCAAACACTATCTACTTTAATTTTTTAGTGAGAGAAGAAAAGGAAGAGATAGATAAGGGTTTTATTTATCCATTCATTTTATTTTTTAATTTGACCAGAAAGAGATAGAGGGTGAGAGAAAGAGAAGAAGTGAGAAAGCAAGCCACCAGATTCAGGACTTGAACCCTTTTCAGCCATGTGGGAGTGCCCAGTGCCTTAACCACCATGCCACCTGCTGGTCCCCAAGGGTATTTAAAAAAAATGTTTATTTAACTTGTTTCTTCAGAGAGAGGCAGAGAAACAGGCACCCCTAACAGGGTCTTCATACTAAAATCTGTCTTGTTATTCTTAAATTGCCAGAGGGCAGAGATAGAGATAGAGAGAGAGAGAGAGACAGGAAGAGAGGGAGAAAACACTCTCAATGGGGTGTGGTCACCCCCTCGTTCTCCTCCATTTCTCCATCTTGTAGGCCCTTGCGGGCACATGTGTGCACCGGGCATGTTCTAGAGAAGTAATTCTGGCAGGGTCTCCAGCGCTGCGGTCCTGCCTTGGTCCCCGGGACCACCAGCTGGGTCAGGTCTGCTGGTCCCTGCTGCTCCCGCCTCTCGGATGGCGGTAGCAGTGTGGCGCCCCCACCCCCCATCTTCTGCCCAGCGTTTCCTGGACAAAGACAATTGTGACAATCATTGTCCAGAAAAGGGGAGGCAGCGGACCCCAGGAAACAACTGCTTCCAACTCGGGAAGGCTCGACCAGGCGCTCAGCTAGACGAGAGGCCGGCGGAGGGGACCGTGGGGTGCAGGGCGCTGCACGTCGCAGGCGGCGGGCCCGGCGGCCTGGCAGAGACGGACCGGAGGCCCCGGAGGCCCAGCCGAGCTCGGCGCGGGC